GCTGTGAAAAGGCCTACAAATAAAGACACTGTACTAAACGTTATTGCACGAGATTTAATTTATGGACAGTATTGCTGATATTGACTTTCAATTGTTCTGATCTCTACCAATAAATCATACGACGTTTGATTGAGAATATTGTTAACGCGCCTTTTTACCAGTAAACCATGTTCACGTTCAATTTCAAACTGATCATTGTAATTTAACAAATTATAGACGTATGATGAACGATTATGTGTTATCTGGTTATTCACTAGAAACAAGAAAGAAAATTTATTGTTAATCACTCCATTCCCTAATTGAACTATGAAAATTCATCAAACAAATCGAATACAGAAGACTATACATTTATTCTTCGAAATAATTCGTTTCCATTAAATCAAAATCATTTTCAATTAGAGTTCGATGTTCATGATAAGTTAAATCATAATATTCAAAATGGAACAATTGACGTTGATGTTGTTCGACATAATTCACCAATATTTCGTGTAAAAAATTATACGTTTACTATGAGTAAGTGCAGAGAATGGCTCTCTTTTTTAAAAAGTTTTTTCAATTTTTGAATTGAATCTTAGATAATGGAAGAGAAAGTCTAGACGTCATCTGAATGGATCCATCATAAATACGCCAGACAATAGCTCAAAATGCAAATTTTGTTTTTTCATTTTTAATTTCTTTTCGAGTTATAGAATTTTTAAAATTACAAATCGTTTACCATTTTTCTATATCTCGAGAAAAAATAATCAAAAACAAAACAAAAATTTCTATTCTAAGATATTCTTCCAGATGTTTTTGATAAAATTTTATACCCTAGTAGTTGGATGAAGTTTTTTTAGAAAGAGGGGTCTGGAATGTGCACGGATGAAAACCAATGTTTTCCAGAAAATCTATCGAAAAACGTGTGAAAAAATTGTGAACAGAAATACATTAATCTTCTTTTTTGATGGTATCTTTCTCTCTCGTTCTGAAGAAGATTTGCGACTCCGTTGGACTTTCGCCGCACACGGATAACAAGGTGGAAAACAAAGAGAGTCTTGAAAAACAGAAGTAGTCTGAATTAAATCTATTCTTTTTTTGTTTTTTGTTTATTTTTAGCACCAAACACATCTCAAATTGGTACAATATTGGCTTATCCGTATGATCAGAATAGTCGACTGGTTTATGAATTATTGAACGAAAATGACAATAATTTTTCAATCGATTTTGATAATGGAACTATATTTGCTGTGAAAAGGCCTACAAATAAAGACACTGTACTAAACGTTATTGCACGAGATTTAATTTATGGACAAAATTCAACAATAAAAGTATTAGTCAAATCTAACAATAATAACGATGATGACATCAAATTTCAGTCAAATATTTATTACACGGAAATGCCGGAAGTTATGCCACCTGGATCAACGATCTTAAAAATAACTACAGTATCTCAGAGAGACGATATTCGATATCAACTATTAGAACATAATGAAAATTTATTTCATATTGATGCGATAACAGGTAGAAAAAAGATAATTGGACGTCTAGCGAGCAATAATCTTGCTCAATCTACCTTCATATTCTAACTGTTGTCTCCATTATATAATTTAGGCATTATTACCTTAACAAATTGGTTACATTATGAGTTACAATCATTTTATTCATTTTATGTTCATATTATTAACAATTCATCGTTTAGTCAAGCAATAATCGAAATTGACGTAAAAGACTATAATAATCATGCACCAATATTTATTAATTTAAATTCTCATATTGAATTATCTAAAATATACATTGAATCCCAACAATCAGAGGAGAATAAGAAAATATTTGTTACAAAGTTAACCGCATATGATTTAGATCAGAATCAATTAATGTATCATCTTATGGAAAATAGTGATGAAAATTTATTTGAAATTAATAGTCAAACAGGTAACATAATAGATTTATATAACGTCTATAAAACTTTCATTTCTATTTCAATTGATTTAGGGATAATAATGCTGATTACTCATCAACAACAATTTTTGTCATCTCGATACGAATTAAAAGTGGGTGTTACAGATGGTTTGTACGTCACAGTCGCTCTTCTATCAATTTCTATCAGTGATTATTCTCTAAATCGTCCAACATTTGATCAAACGATGTATACATTTAAATATCGTGTGGAATCTGTTAATGAAAATGATATTATTTACAAACAATTAGGACAAATTCGAGCAATAGACAAAGATAATGGAGACGATTTAAAATATGAATTGATAGAAGAGCGACTGTGACGTACAAACCATCTGTAACACCC